CTGCGCCCTGCCCCACGCCCGGCCTAGCACCCACCGTCCCGGTAGGGCGGTTTGAAGATGTAGCCCTTGTTGTCCAGGCTCCTCCGGTAGAAGCTGGCGTTGAAGGGCTCTGGCTCCTCCTCCCAGTCGTCCGCAGCCCTGCAAGGCAGCGGTGGCCACCGCCGCGGGCTCTTACTCGCCCCCGCGCCTGCAGGGGAGGGCCCATTGCCGGCACCGAGGGCACCTCGGCCCGGGGCACTCACTTGTTGGGGAAGATGCGGGTGATGCCCCCGTCGGTGGCTGCGAACACGGCCAGGAGGCTGTACCTGCGGGGCGAGGACGGGCGTGCGGGCGCTCACATCGGCTCCCTGCCTCCCCGTCCCGCTGCGCCCAGGCCCACTCGCATCACCCAGCCCACCCACACCGCCCACAAGGCGGCATTTGCCGCGGGAGGAGGCGCCACGGTGGCTCCCGCGTTGCCAGGGGCAGGACGGCTGCCCCGGTGCCTACGTGTTGAGGTCCTGGTCCCTCCAGACCCGCTCCACCAGCTGCTGCGTGATGCCCGTGTCCAGGATGAGGTTGTGCAGGAGGAAGTTGTCGCCTTGGGAGCGAGAAGGGGAGGAGGAGGAGAAGGAGGAGGAGGTGAGAGGCAGGAGTGCCTGCGGTGCCACCCCTGCCCGTGCCTCCCACCCCAGCCGGCCCCGGCTACTCACACTGCTTGGAGTCGGGGGTCACCTTTTCCATGAGGGCAATAAAGTTTTCCAGGAACTCGGTGTTGTTATCCGACAGGTCGAGGTCTTTGCAATACTCTCTGGGAGCAGGGGGACAAGATGGGTCGTTCGGAGGCACGGAAAAGGCACCGTCAGCCCCCCTGCGCTGGGGCGGGGGGCTCGGCTGCCCCGCTCGGCCACAGAGTGAGCCCAGGCCGTGCTGAGGCCCCACACACTCGTGTCATCAACGCCGTGCTCGGAGGCGCCTCGGCAGGGCGCGCGGACGCCGGACCAGCGTCCCTGCCCCTCGTTCCGTGCAGGGGCCGCCCGGCTCTGCCCCCTCCGATGGGCTCCGTGCCCCGACCCTCCCTCGGATAAGAGAAGAGGGCTGCGGAAG